TTGCAGATTGTTTCATTCACATAAATCTAAAATATATGAGAAAATCGTACAGAGAAACAGCCGTCAATTTTGAACAATTTCATCACATTTTGATACTATAGGAATCACTAGTATGCACTTAATTATCCTTTTATCACATCACGTGTTGATGATACAAAATATTAACTTATATTAAGAGAATGTTTGACAATCTCTTCAACTTTTCTTATAGATATTGTAAAAGGTTCATACATAGGTAAAGAACATAGTTAACCAACTAAATGTAACAGTTTTGACCAACTTTGTTCTTGTAGACTCTTCAACTTTGTTCTTGTAATATTAGTGTGACCAACTGACTTGTGGTTGACTTTCCAATGCGAATGAGGAACCGACATGTGGTAGCCCATTACGCCTTTGTATGTCGTAGACCGATAGACCAAAACAGTTTTCATATATATATTTACATTTAANAATGTAACATACATCAATTTTCAACAATTTCGTCACATCTTGTCACTGCAAGTATATGAACTTTTTATATTTAAATAAACTTAACTTTTTTGTACAATAAACTCTTATAAAAAAACTACTTAATGTATGGTAGCATGGGTTTTTAAACTGAGTTGGATTTTATTTATCTCATATGGTTAATTAGGTATCAGTCTCATAAAGGACAATTGAGAAAATTAGGTATCACTTGTAACTAGCTTTACAACTACTCAATCAAACACATCAATTTGGAAACAATCTTCTCATTATCTTATCGATATATTGTTTGTTAGTATTGTTGGAATAATTTGGCTGTTTCTTTATTTTCTCATAGGACCACAAGACATATAGGAAGGTTCCATATACATGTGGTTAAATCTATCATTATATAAAAAGAATAACCTTTTTACAAATTTAGAAACTTTTTCCCGCCAAAATCATTAAATATATCCTAATATAGTAATTGTTGGACAAATCTAAGTAGGCAAAAAAATCGGCTCATTTTTTTTAGTTTATCAAAACCGTTTTTTGACAATAAATATTTGTTTTTATTTTTCCTATTTTTAGTATAAATCTACACACTTATCTCTTCTGTTACAAAATCCCATTGCATACGTCTCCCGTGTTTAAAAAATTTCATCCCTTATCTATACAAATTTTAAAAAATAAAATAAAATAGAAACCAATTCATAATTACTACTAGAAATCCATTATCTTTAAAAAGAAAAAATAAAATAAAATAGAAATCAATTCATAATTACTACTGAAAATCCATTATCTACTTTAAGAAGCTAATTTTTATCGGTCTAATTACTAATATTTTTACAAATATTATAAGCTAACCATACAAAAAACTATAATAATAATTTTGAAATGGTGTGTAATCAAATTTTTTTATATTATCTTATACAAAATAATTTTACATTGTTCGACCCCGAATCTTTAATTTATAATTATTAAGTATTGTTTATCTTCCTCTTTAATTTATAATTATTTTTTTCGCTTCTTTTTTTTAAATAGGATCAATAGTAGTTTCCACTTGGGTCATTGAGTGACTCAAACTCGAGGTCTATTTATAATATTGTTAATTTAATATTATTTTCGTGCATCGCACAGGTATACACTAGTTTGAGTAGTAATGTGTTGGATATTATACCAAAGCAGCCAAGAAGTACTGTTTGTGACCCGTTGACTACGTAATAGTGTCTGGGTGCCAATAGTTTCTCAAAAGTCTAGACAACTGACAACTTAATTAACAATAACTTGGTACCAATAAGTTGACTCAAAGTCAACATTTCATTTTCATGCCAGCACTCTTTCTTCTCGGCAGCGTACTTAAATAAGTTTGACTATGTCAGACCAAAAATAATAAAAATCTCTTCCTCTAATACTATTATACTAATTCATTTTTTTATCTCCTTGTTCATCACATGAGATATATTCACCCGTTAGATTGAAACTTCGCTACTCCCAAAAACTTACATAAAACTAGAAAAAATAAAACATTATTTCGAAAAAGAATTAACTCAATTTTGTAACTATAATATATTAGCAATGTAGCCACTTAAAATGGCAATAATAAACGAGATACAACACAAAAATTCGGAGAAAGCCGCCTCAACCCAATCACCAATGATGAACCCAAACATTTTTTAGATGCATAAATCAAGGAAAAATGATAATATATATATATATATATATATATATATATGGGAGTGGTTCAAATAAAAACCTTTTCTGGTGTGAGAACCGTGAGAACCATATTTGATGCTATTTTTAATTGTGTATGATGCTATTTTTAATGTTACATGGTGCTATCATTTTTACAAATGCTAAGTTGCTATTTTTAATAAAATACATCCTGATTAAAAATAGCACAAAATACAATCAATCATAGCACTACGTACAATTAAAAATAGCGGTTCTCACAGTTCTCACGCTAGGACTTGGTTCTCATTTGAACCACATCCTATATACATATATATATATATATATATATATTTTGCATCCCAAAATGAAAAAGTAGCAGTATAATTGGAAATACCATTCAATTTTATTAATTTATTTCACTTTTTTCTCTAACTCACATTTTTCAGCACAAATTAAAAACCAATCAGATTGGACAATTCCTCTATACAATATACTATTCATTCACTCGCATATTTATAATTATCTAAGTATTATTTCAGTATCTAACTATTTAAATACCTATCACATCACAATTAATTACATGGAATGAATGTAAATGCATTTCCATTGCACCTCACAAAATAGTTCCTCTTCATCTCTTCAATTTAAAAAAAAAAAATANATATCCAATTTTTTTTTTTTTTTAAAAAAAAAAAAGAAAAAACACACACACACACAAAACACACAGTTTATTATTTACAAATGGAGATCAAATTTTCATTTTCTCTAGCTCTTCATCTTTGCCTACTCCTAATCAACCACAATCTCCACCAAACCCTCTCATCACCAATCTTCAACCTCACCACCGACCGACAAGCCCTCGTCGCCTTCCGAACCGCCATAACTTTCGACCCGACCGAAACCCTAACCGCCAACTGGTCCGCCACCCCAATCTCCTCCCCATGCAATTGGGCCCACATCTCATGCGGCCCAAGACACCAACGCGTCACAAGCCTCAACGTATCGGGCCTCGGCCTTGTCGGGCCCATCTCCCCACACCTCGGCAACCTAACTTTCCTCCGAACACTTGACATGGGCTTCAACAACTTCACGGGCCCAATACCGCCTGAGCTGTCCAAACTCCGCCGGCTCGTGACGCTAAACCTAGCGAGCAATCGGCTCGTGGGCCCGATATCGAGGCCCATTTTCAACGTCTCGTCGTTTATGAAGAGAATTGATATGGGAGGGAACATGCTGACGGGCGGGATTCCGGACGATGTGTGCGGAAATTTTCCGAGACTCGAGAGGTTGAGGCTATCGGAAAATGAGCTCGAGGGGAGGATTCCGGCGAATATATCGGATTGCCGGCGGCTTGAGGAGCTTAAGCTAGCGAGGAATAATTTTATTGGAGAGATACCAAGTGGGGTTTGGAGCTTGCCAAGGCTTAGGGTTTTGTCTCTATATGAAAACCAGCTCACAGGTGACATTATTATTATTGGAGATTTTTAAGTTGACGAATTATATATATTAGAGTAATTTTTATTGTTAATTAATTAATTTCAAATATCCTTTTTTTTCAGGGTTTTCGGCACGAGAACCAGGGTATGTGGCGCAGATTGAGGTTTTGGATGTTGGGGAAAATAATTTGAGAGGTATGTCATATGTGCATCAATATTTTGACCAAGTCAACTCGATCAAACTTTAGCATAAGTTAGACAAATTAAAGTATATTTAACTTTTAGTAGATTTGGTTCAGCAATAACTAATTTTGTGTAACATGGATGGAATTATTTATAGTGTTGCAGTGTACATTTTTGAAATTTTTGTAGTTGAAAAGTATATTGGAATATTGTCATCTTAATTATTTGTAGGCGAGATAAAAGTTATT